ACTGGTTGTTCTGCCCTGATCTTTCTCAGCTCCATTTCCTCCTGGTCTTGCCACCAGGCAGGTTGTCCTAATGTATCACCTAGGATTGGGTGGTACACAAGGAGTCACCAAGGTTTTTAAACAGGGAATTACACCAGTTCCCTGTTTAAAAGCCTTGGTGACTCCTCAGTGGCTACCACGTAAATTCAGTCATGAGCTTAGCTTTCAAAGCCACTGCACTCCAACCCCAGTTAATATCTTTAGCATGTGACTAAAATTATTCACATGTCTAACCCTGTGTTCTGTTCTCACACATCTTTCACTGGGCCATCTCTGCGGCTACGCCCGGGCCATTCTCTTAGTTTGAGCTAATGTTGCCATTTTCATTGGTTCTTCAAACCTTCCCATCTTTCAGAACCCAGCTCACCTTTCTTCCTTCTATCAAGTTTGCTCAGGTTATCCCACTCCTGAATTCCTGGCCTAGGACTTACTGTCTGTGCTATTGTTGGGAAGCTAATCATGTTCTGTCTTGTGCCATGTTTAAATAAACTTATTGTTTATCTCTTGTTTTTGCTTTATCCTTTTCTATGCTTGTCTTAGTTTTCTAACTAGATCATACAATCCTTGCAGGGGAGACTATTCTGTCTTAGTGACATTTTTGTTTGGGTGCTTTTGTGCTTTATCCATCCCCTCCCCTCCTCCATGTCCACTCCCCACTAAGACGTGTGACCTGGACCAGACATTCATAGTACCCAATCCCCTTGTCACATTGATTATTCCAGGGATGACTCATCATGGTCCATGACCCCAACTCATCCAACCCCTGTCTTTTCCCAGTATTTGTCCAACTGAAGCTAGTGGGGAAAGACCTCTCACCTTTGGATTCCCACAAGTGGAAAACTGTCAATCTGAGACCCCCAAGTTCCCCTACAAGTGGAAAAATGTGGAAGTGGCCTGGTTTGCAGTAGGAGAGGATGTGGTCAACACCCAAAGAAAAATGGTCAGAACTAAAAGGAGAGAACTCTGATGATGGCTCTTGGATTGCTGGATCCAATTGTGCCTAAAGTCAGATTTACCCTTAACGTTTTAATTACCAAACCAGCAAATATCTCGTAGAGGCTAATACACCTTACTGAATTAAAAGAACGGGGCTTTAAATTGATTACATATGTGGTATTTTATTACTTTATGTATTTTGCTAAAATTTTCTGAGGATAAGTGTGCTGTTAATCATTTTAGATAGTTTTGAAAATGCAGAAACGTTTAAAGAAAAAAAAAATCATCATTGGTGACGTCACGACGCCCGCGCCGCTGCGGTCGCCGCCGTCGCACGAGTCTTTCCTAGTAACCTGGGCAATAGCTGGTCAGGTACAATGGCTCACACCTGTAATCCCAGCATTTCGGGAAGCTGAGGCCGGTGGATCACCTGAGATCAGGAGTTCGAGACCAGGATGGCCAACATGTGGATGTTTCTAAGGATTGTCTTCAGTCATGGCCTTGGGAGTCTTGGGATTAAAGTGCTTTCGCATGGTCCACCCTGCCTTTCGAAATTACCTTGCTGCCTCAATCAGACCTGTTTCGGAAGTTACACTGAAGACAGTGCATGAAAGACAGCATGGCCATAGGCAATACGTGGCCTATCCAGCTGTATCAGTCCGCCATTTTGCTACCAAGAAAGCCAAAGCCAAAGGGAAAGGACAATCCCAAACCAGAGTGAATATTAACACTGCCTTGGTTGAAGATATAATCAACTTGGAAGAGGTGAATGAAGACATGAAGTCTGTGATAGAAGCACTCAAGGATAATTTCAATAAGACTCTCAATATAAGGACCTCACCAGGATCCCTTGACCAGATTGCTGTGGTAACTGCTGATGGGAAGCTTGCTTTAAACCAGATTAGCCAGATCTCCATGAAGGCGCCACAGCTGATTTTGGTGAATATGGCCAGCTTTCCAGAGTGTACAGCTGCAGCTATCAAGGCTATAAGAGAAAGTGGAATGAATCTGAACACAGAGGTGGAAGGGACACTAATTCGGGTACCCATTCCCCAAGTAACCAGAGAGCACAGAGAAATGCTGGTGACACTGGCCAAACAGAACACCAACAAGGCCAAAGACTCTTTACGGAAGGTTCGCACCAATGCAATGAACAAGCCGAAGAAGTCAAAGGATACAGTCTCGGAGGACACCATTAGGCTAATAGAGAAACAGATCAGCCAAATGGCTGATGACACAGTGGCAGAGCTGGAGAGGCATCTGGCAGTGAAGACCAAAGAACTCCTTGGATGAAAGTCTACTGGGGGCCAGCAATACTCCAGAGCCCAGTTTCTGGTGGATCCCATGGGTGGCACATTGGCACCTCTCTCCCTCCTCCATCCACACAGAAGGCTGTGACCATGCTGACAGAAGGCTGTCCTTGTGAGGCTCAGTCTTCCAGTGGAACACTCAGACTTGTTCATTCTCTTCCTCCCTCTGCTCTGGGCCTTCTGGCATGGGTGGCTCTCAGAAAAGATTTGCTGCTGGCAAAGGGCCTTTACTCAGGCATTTGCTTTGACTTGATGTCGCCAAGGGACTGAGGCCATTGGCAGACTTCATCCCACCTGCTCCTCATCTTAGGAGCTTCCTTTTCAAACAGGCTCTGTTCCCATTTTAAAACTCTGTTTGGGCTGATGTTGGCTGTCACCTGTGACTGGGCACTTACTAGAGGCCCATTTTCACCAAAAAATAAAATCTAAATAAATCGGAAAGAATAACAGCCAGAAAGGAGAGGAATAGAGTTGGTCTGGATTGATGATCACTAAGAATCTGTATGTAAAGCACCCAGAAGAGTAGTTTTGCCTATGAGTCATCTTCATACATGCTCTTTTCTCTGCTGGCATCCCTCTTCCCCTCCTTACCTGGCCAGTCCTGTTTATCTTCAGGCCTTGTCTTGGATAGCACATCCTCTGGAAGTCTTGCTTTCCCCTCTGACCTAGGACCCTCATTACTGGCTCTCATAGCACAGTCTACTGCTTTATATTAACTCTTAAGAACTCAGAACTTTGTATAATGCCTGGAGTATAGTAGGCAGTCATATGTTGAATTGTGAATAAATTGCACATAGTAGCTACCCAGCAAAAAAAAAAAAAAAAGAAAAAAATCATCATCATCCATATCCCCACTACCCAAAGTTACTGCTGTCTATACTTGGCATGCTTTTTTTTTCTATTTAATCCTTTTTTCTTTGTATACTTTTTATGAAGCAATGTCACTGTACTGTATGTTGTTTTATATTCTGTTTTTCTTTCTAATCACTATATTGTAAGTAGTTCAGCTTTCACTGTTTTATAAACTAGTCTCCAAATTGTTTATGTTTTTCTCTTAAAACTGTTCTTATTTTTTTAACTTTTGAAGACGAGGGCTAAGATGAGAGAGGGGAAGGGACTGGAAGAAAGATGAGATGCCAAGGAGAATACATGAGAAAAAGAAAAGAACGCAGAGGTGACCCCGCTTGCTTTCTTAGAAGTCCATATTTTATGCTGCCTGGTACCAGAGAAGATTTAAGGCACTGTTGTCCTTGTGGCCTTAGAACACCTCTCCAGGTTCTTTTTCAGTGGTGGTGGCTGCAGTGGCTGCTGTTATTCTGAGTGTCTGTGCCCCTGAGGCTGAGCCAGAGCCGGCTTCTGCAGGCTGCAATTCAAGATGGCCAATTCGCAATCCTAGCAAAATCAATCTATTGGAAACTAATGAGGCACAAATAGTTCATGCACTTTGAGGCTGATCTGCCAAATGAGATAAACAGGGCTCAATCAGCAGGGAAAATCAGTGATGCAAAAATTCATTTCAATCTAGCATTATTTCCCCCGGGATGCCCACGATATCACATTCTATTGTTTTGATGCTTCTGTGGCAATTCTTGTCTAAGCTTCTGTAGACCAGGCCAGGAGAACTCCCTCACTCAGGGTTTTATGCTTCCAGAGGCTGGTAAATGCCAAGATTTGGTGGCTAAGACTACGAGGTCTGGACAGCCAATATTTGCAAGAAGCAAAGGTTTTATGTTTTGTATATAACACTAACCTCTGTTTCTAAACCATCATCTGTATTAGGCAACGTAATTAGCAAATAACATGATTATTAACTTTGCAAGAGAGCAAATCACAAATGTATTAGAGCTAGTGCTCGACTTACGACCACGATTGGTTCCAACAGACTGGTCGTAACACGATTTGGTCGTAAGTTGAGTAGGCTATATGCACACGGAGATGGTAGTGCTGCCAGAAGCTGGTCCGCACTGTCGTATGCCCAGCTGGGCAACGTTTGCGCTGCCAGACACGGAGCAGTCGTGGCTAGCGATTGTGGTCGTAAAGTTGAATGGTCGTAAGTTGCATAGGTCATAAGTCTATCAATACCTGTATACTATTAATTCACACTTACAACACACAAAATATAGAGTAATATTTTTAAAATCCTATCATTTTTGTGCCACTAAGTTTATTTTTCCTTAAATGTTATACTAGCAAGATATGATCATTGCAAAAAATTTTAAAAGTACCGATAAGCAAAAATAAGTTGTCATCTCTATTATGTTTTATTTATTTATTTTTTATTTTTGGAGACAGAATCTCGCTCTGTCACCAGTCTGAAGAGCAGTGGCGTGATCTCAGTTCACTGCAACCTCTGCCTCCCAGGTTCAAGTGATTCTGGTGCCTCAGCCTCCCAAGTAGCTGTGATTACAGGCATGCACCACCACAGCCAGCTAATTTTTGTATTTTTAGTAGAGATGGGGTTTCATCATGTTGGCCAGGCTGGTCTCGAACTCCTGAGCTCAGGCAATCTGCTGCCTCGGCCTCCCGAAATACTGAGCTTATAGGTGTGAGCCACTGCACCCAGCCTCTATTATATATATTTTTAGAAACAGAGTTTCATTGTGTTGCTCAGGCTGGAGTGCAGTGGTGCGATCATAGCTCACTGCAGCCTTGAACTCCTGGGTGCAAGCAATCCTCCCACTCAGCCTGCAAAGAGCTGGGACTACAGGCTTGTGCAACTATGCCTGGCTAATTTTTTTTTTTTTTTTCTGTAGGCAAGAAGTCTTGCTATGTTGTCAGGCTGGTCTTGAACTCCTGGCTTTAAGTGATCCTCCAGCCTCAGCCTCCCAGAGTGCTAGGATTACAGGTATAAGCCACCATACCTGGCCCCTCATCTCTATTAAATTTTATTTATACATGTCAAATTTCTTTCCATGCAGAATTATTGAAAAAATAAGATCACGTGATTCATGCTGTTCTATAACCTACTTAAAAAAATTGTAATATAGCCGGGCGTGGTGGCTCACGCCTGTAAATCCCAGCACTTTGGGAGGCTGAGGCGGGTAGATCACGAGGTCAAGAGATCGAGACTATCCTGGCCAACATGGTGAAACCCCATCTCTACTAAAAACAAACATTAGCTGGGCATGGTGGCACATGCCTGTAGTCCCAGCTACTTGGGAGGCTGAGGCAGGAGAATTGCTTGAACCCAGGAGGCAAGATGCAGTGAGCCGAGATCCCACCACTGCACTCCAGCCTGATGCCTGCTGACAGAGTAAGACTCTGTCTAAAAAAAAAAAAAAAAAAAAAAAAAAAAATTGTAATATATTGGAGTTGCCTATTCCATAAAAAACAGGTCTTTTCTGCTGTCATAGTGTTGCTTTGATGGGTGAAGCCTCTGTTGATGCCCTGTATGTTTAGAAACCCACTTGCTTCTTGAGAGGCCTCATTAGATGATTTGGCTCAGAAAAGTGGGGAAGGAATCAGGAAACACCAAGTCTGATCCTAGATAAGGGGTGTCCTGCTGAAATTGGGGCCCAGGCAACAGGCCTGATCAGTCAGCTAGCTCCACCACAACCACTGGGGATAAATGTCCACCCACCTTCCTGTATGGGGTCATGAGGTTAAACCCAAGGATGACCAGCAAACTGAGGTTTGAGATCCAAGGCCCAGCCTAACCAAGAAGACTCAGAGTGGGGCCATGCTGGGGTCCTGTAGAACCTGTGGGGACTGTGAAATCATCGATCCTCTCCTTGAGAGTGAGGAATGAGTCAATTTATACCAGTCTCAGTGCCTGGTAGAGTTGAAATTCAATAAATATTTGTAGAATACAAGAATGATGGTTCTACTTCTTCCTAATCATCCTTCTAGTTTTGGCTCAGATATTATCTCCTCCAGGAAGCCTTCTCTAAGCAACACTCTTTTATTCATCATTTGTACCCTCATACTTGGATAAATGCTCTCCACTGAGACCCATTATACAACTTAACAATCAAAAGATGAATAATCCAGCTTAAAAAGGTGAAAGATTTGAATGGGCATATCTTCAGAGAAAATATACAAATGGCTAATAAGCTCATGAAAAGACACTCAACATCATTGATCATTAGAGAAATGCAAATCAAAACCGCAATAAGAAGCCAGGCATGGTGTTAAGTGCTTATAGTCCCAGCTACTCAGGAGGCTGAAGCAGGAGGATCACTTGAGGCCAGGAGTTCGAGGTTGCGATGTGCTAGGATTACATCTGAGAATAGTCATTGCACTCCAGCCTGGGCAGTTTAGAGAAACCCTGTCTTTAATAAAAACAAAAATAAAAAATCCAACTAACCAACCAACCAACCAGAATGAGCTACCACTTTATACCCACCAAGATGGCTATAATAAAAATTACATACAATAACAAGTATTGGTGGGGATTTGGAGAAATTGCAACACATACATTGCTGGTGTGAATGTAAAATGGTACAGCTGCTTTGGAAACCAGTCTGGCAGTACCTCAAAAACTTAAACACAGAGTTTCCATATGAGCCAGCAATTCCACTCCTAGGTATATATACAAGAAACTTGAAAACATATGTTTATACAAAGACTTGTACGTAAATGTTCATAGCAGCATTATTCATAACAGCTGAAAAGTAGAAATAACTCCAAATGTCTATCAGCTGAGGAACAGATAAACAAATTGTGCTATATACATACAATGAAATATTATTCAGCCATAAAAGGGGCAAAATACTGATACATGCTACAAGGATGAACCTTGAAAACATCATGCTGGCCAGGCGTGGTGGCTCACGCCTGTAATCTCAGCACTTTGGGAGGCTGAGGTGGGTGGATCAACTGAGGTCAGGGGTTCGAGACCAGCCTGGGCAACATGGTAAAACCCTGTCTCTACTAGAAATACAAAATTAGCCAGGCATGGTGGCGCGTGCCTGTAGTCCCAGCTATTTGGGTGGCTGAGGCAAGAGAATAACTTGAACCCAGGAGGTGGAGGTTGCAGTGAGCTGAGATTGTACTATTGCACTACAGTCTGGACAACCAAAGCAAAACTCTGTCTCAAAAACAAACAAACAAACAAACAAAAACATTATGCTAAATGATTGAGGCCAGATGCAGAAGGCCACATATTACATGATTCCATTTATATGAGATGTCTAGAATAGGCAAATCTATAGAGATGGAAAGTATATTAGTTATCACCAGGGATTAGGGGAAAAGGAAAATGGGGAGTGACTGCTGATAGATAGTACTTTTTAAGCATGTGGTGATGAAATATTTTAGAATTCGATTGTGGTGATGGTTGCACAATCTTATGACTATACTAAAAACCACTAGATTATATACTTTAAAAGGGTAAATTTCATGTATGTGAATTGTATCTCAAAAAAAGAGAAGAGTGTGTCTATTACATTGTCCTGTGATTGACTGTATATTTATTGGTCTACAGGATTGGGTCCTTATTTTCTGGTTCTCCAACACTGAGACCTGGAACACAGTAGGCACATGATGTTGGTGAACTGAAGAGTTTGAGAGTTCTTTTTCTATAATCCCAGGGCCACCCGTCTGGCTGCTCCCCACACTCTGAGAATTATTTGGGAGTTAGCAGCCCTAGTCCAGGTATTACATCCTCCAGAATCAAAGAGTGGGCCTCATTTACCCAGCAGCCTATGGTTTGTATACCAACCGGGGGAACCATGTTGTTTAATGTATTAAGCCTTGTCAACAGGGGCCACACCGAGTCCAAGTGAAGGGGCTGCCGCTGAGGGAGTCCTTACTTTGCTCCTGTTAGAGGATTCACTGTGAATAACGCTTCTTCTCTGGTGGAAGTAGCCTGGGCTGCAACACGTTCTGGAAACCTGGTTCTAGCATGCTGTCTGTTTCTGCTCCACTTCTACTTCAAGGTCAAATAAAGAGGTCCTTGGTTCTTTTGGCCTAAGGGAAGAGATAGGTATCTCTGTCCAATTCTCCCATCTACAAAGTCCAGTTGCTGTCACTCCCTTGGCTGTAGGACATGGTTCTTTTAGAATATCTCCTTTTTACAAACTAAGCCACATAATTAGGTAGGTCATGCAAGCATGTCTTAGATTTGTCCATTTAAAGAGGGCTCCAAACAACCCTGGAAACAGAGGACTTTCCCAGGCCTCCTCTGAGAGACAGCCTATGAACACCTGAATGAATCATTTGGTTCAGACAGTTGGGTGAGCAGGTGGTAAGATCCCTAAGGGGCATGGCCAGGTGACCAGAGATGGTTACTAAACTGCCCTTCAAGAAAGTGGGTTTAGGTAACTTTGCTTTGCTGAGAGGGGACAGAGAAAGCAAGTTCGGGAACAGGACAGACTTGCTGAGATAATGGAGAGGGGCTGATACCCAATGGGCGGTCCAGCGGCCTTCGCTTCTGCCTTCCTCCACTCCCCCAGCACTCCACATCTCCACTTGAGAAATGCTGAAGAAGTGGAATGAACCTTCCCAGGATATCCCTGGGACTTGATTTGGTCCTGTGTAATGAGTTCCCTCAGTGAACTCTTTTAATCACCTCTGATAAGCTTCCAGCAGCTTCCAGAACATCTGTTATTCTCTTAACACCATTGTTGTTGATTTTTTAACCTTGTTAGCGTTGTATTAGTGAGGCTAGCTGCTTGGTTTCTGAAGTTGCAGTGTTTTTCTCTCAGTCCATCAGGATGATCTCACTTTCTCTGGCTCTCTCCCAATTTCCCTGTGCCACCTTCTTCCTCTTCTCTCCCTCCTTATTCCTCCTCCCTGGCACCTCTCCTCATCTCTCCAGCCTCAATCACAATGCCTCTCTTAGAGTTATCAGCTGTATCTTCCAACCTAAAAATGGTTTTCTCAAGTAAACACTTCATTAATGTAATTATTTTAGAGTAGTGAGTCTTCTAAGGTAAACTCAGCATTTTCTAACCAATAAAGCCCCTGCCCCGGTCAGAAAAAAAAACCCTGATCTCTCAGCAGCTGCCTTCAGACTGGCACCTTGTCTTACCCTCTCCCAAACTGCAACCTTCCATTGACACAGTAGAAGTTGATAGAAGTGCATTCTGTACTTGTAATTTCTCTCAAAGGTGTATTGAGGTCAACTTCCTCCTCCCATCCCCCTCCCCCCCCCCCCCCCCGCTTCCTTTCTCCCCTCCCCTCCCCCCCCCCCCCCCCCCTCCCCCCTTCTCTCCCCCCCTCCCCTTCTTTCCCTTCCCTTCCCTCCCTCCCTCCTTTTCTCCCTCTCTCCTTCCCTTTCTTCCTTTTTCTTTTCTTCTTTTTTATAGGATTTTTCTCTGTTGCCCACGCTGGAGTGCAGTGATGTGATCATGGCTCACTGGAGGCTAGAACTTCTGGGCTCAAGTGATCCTCCTGTCTGAGCATCCTGAGTAGCTAGGACTACAGGTACACACCACCATGCTCAGCTAATATATATGTATTTTTTTGAGACACAGTCTCACTCTGTTGCCCAGACTGGAGTGCAGTGGCACGAACTCGGCTCACTGCAACCTCCGCTTCCTGGGTTCAAGCAATTCTCGTGCCTCAGCCTCCCAGGTAGCTAGGATTACAGGCACCTGCCACATTGCCTGGATAATTTTTGTATTTTTAGTAGAGATGATGCAACACCATGTTGCCCAGGCTGTTCTCAACTCCTGGCCTCAAGTGATCCACTCACCTCAGCCTCCCAAAGTGCTGAGATTATAGGTGTGAACCACATGCCTGGCCATGCCCAGTTAATATTTAAAAAATTTCTTAGCAGTGCAGTAATATAAAAAGAATTTTTTTTTTTTTTTTTGAGACGGAGTTTTTGCTCTTGTTAACCAGGCTGGAGTGCAATGGCGCGATCTCGGCTCACCGCAACCTCTGCCTCCTTGGTTCAGGCAATTCTCCTGCCTCAGCTTCCTGAGTAGCTGGGATTACAGGCATGTGCCACCATGCCCAGCTAATTTTTTGTATTTTTAGTAGAGACGGGGTTTCACCATGTTGACCAGGATGGTCTCGATCTCTTGACCTCATGATCCACCCGCCTCGGCCTCCCAAAGTGCTGGGATTACAGGCTTGAGCCACCGCGCCCGGCCCGGAAAAAGAATTTTTAAAAAAAGAATTAAAAAAAAAAAAGAAAAAAAAATTTCATTGGCCGGTCGTGGTGGCTCACGTCTGTAATCCCAGCACTTTGGGAGGCCGAGGTGGGCGGATCACAAGGTCAAGAGTTCGAGACCATCTTGGCCAACACGGCGAAACCCTGTCTCTACTAATACTACAAAAATTAGCTGGGCGTGGTGGTGAGCACCTGTAATCCCAGCTACTTGGGAGGCTGAGGTAGGAGAATTGCTTGAACCTGGGAGGCAGAGGTTGCAGTGAGCACAGATTGCCCCTTTCCATTCCAGCATGGTGACAGGGTGAGACCCTGTCTCAAAACAAAAAAAAATTTTTGTAGAGATGGAGTCTTGCTATATTGCCTAGACTGGTCTCAAACTCCTGACCTCAAGTGATCCTCCTCCCTCAGCCTTCCAAAGTGCTGAGATTATAGGAATGAGCCAATGTTGGCCAGGCCAACATTTTAAATGTCTTTATTTTGGCTACCTAATAGCATAAAACAATCTCCAAGCCAAACGTTGGATATTTTGTCAAATACAATACAATATTTGGGGTGTTATTTTGTTGTAGATGTTTTCCTCCAAGCAACAACACAAGACACACTGGAGCAAGTGCTTTTAGTTTGTTTGTTTTTTTTTTTTTGAGACGGAGTTTCGCTCTTGTTACCCAGGCTGGAGTGCAATGGCGCGATCTTGGCTCACCGCAACCTCTGCCTCCTGGGTTCAAGCAATTCTCCTGCCTCAGCCTCCCGAGTAGCTGGGACTACAGGCGTGCGCCACCACGCCCAGCTAATTTTTGTATTTTTAGTAGAGACGGGGTTTCACCATGTTGACCAGGACGGTCTCGATCTCTTGACCTCATGATCCACCCGCCTCAGTCTCCCAAAGTGCTGGGATTACAAGCGTGAGCCACCGCGCCCGGCCTTAGTTTGTTTTTATTATCTTTTAGAGACAGTGTGTTGCTCTGTTACCCAGGCTTGAGTGCAGTGCTGCAATCATAGCTTACTGTAATCTCAAACTCCTGGGCTCAGTGACCTCCCACCTCAGCTTCCCAAAGCAGTGGGATTACAGAGGTGCACCAGTGTGTCAGCCATAGCAAGTGTTTATAGATTGATAAACAGAGGCTCTCCGACTAGAGTCCTGGGGTTACTCATACTCATCCCAGCCCCGCTTTCCAGGCACAGCAATCCCTACTTAACCTCTGGTTTTCTACCTGGCCCCATAGACTTCTTTTGACCGACCTCCACCATTTCTCCAAACGTCCCTAAAGCATCATCCAGTAGCATTGACCTCTAAGGAATGTGGAATTCTTGGCTCAGGCATTCCATCATCTTCAAATCAGGTCTGTGCCCTGAGGCACACGTGTATAGATTTGCTTTTTGCTCAGTAATTAATCAGTAAGAAACAAGACAATCAGTTATTTAAGGAGTTTTGCTCTTTCTTGCTTTACTTTTCTGTAAGATACTACAGAGGCATTAGACAAAAATCATCAAGGGGTTTTTGGTGATACAGCAGCAAAACTCTTTGATTCATAAATCCCTTTCTCTCACTTGATTTTCTTCTTTTCTCCTGGTGTTCTCCAGCATGGTATTTCTGAAAATGACTATGGTCAGTATTTTGGGTAACTGGAAAAACAACTAACCAAAACCAACGTATTCTAAGAAGGCATCTTTCTCAACACTGCCTCCTAGTAATGTTAAAATAACATTCACTTACTGATGCCTATGTGTGTCAGGCAATGCCTAAGCATGATTTGCTCTTTAGCTTGCAAGTAAACCTACAGAGGGTTTTGTTTTCTCCAGGTTAGAGATGAGAGAAGACTGTACACTAGGCACTGGAGCCAGGGTTCTGCCAGGTGTCTCTGGAGCCCACAGCCTTAACCGCTATGCTACTGCCAGCCCCAGAGTCTCCAGGTTATTTCCCTCTCCCAGTTTGTGTGGCTCTGTAGATGAAGTAAAGGCCGATGACTCTGGACTGTCCTCTGAAAAATCCTGCTCCCTCCTTTCCTAATTCCTCACACTTACGACCTGCTTGGGGGATGCTTCCCACAGCATGTTTACGATCCTGGTTTGTGTGCACGACTCTCTGCCTGATATCTTTATTTCTCTCCAACAGCGGAAGGACTGCTGGGAATAATCTGATACACATGAAGAGAAAACGAGGAGTTACTAATAAGATTAAATTAAACTTAAGCATATTTTAAACAGTGTGTAAAACACAGGACTAAGCACTGTTTGAGATGAGCAGACACAAGGCACGACCTCATGGAATTTACAATCTGCTGGGGAGAGGAAATGAGGGATAAGACTACACATAGATATCCAGGAGTTTATGCCAAATATGGGAAGTTCCATGAGAAAGGAAGAAATGAAGCCCTATATAGGGCTGGAAGGCAAAAGCCCTCCCGTTTCCCTGGGGATCCAGGTTTAAGAGAAATGGTGGGGACTGAGACTGGAGAACGGGAAGTTTTACTCAAGGCTCAGTCACTGATGCACTGACAAGACCTTGGGGTTCACCCTCCCAGGACAGGTTACATAATTTACAGGGCTCAGTTCAAAAATGAAAGGCAGGGCTCTTTGTTCAAAAGTGAAACATTTCAAGATGGTGAGAGCAGAGCTTGTAATCAAGTGTGAGGCCCTCCTCAGCACAGGCTGCATGCCCACGGGGCTGGCCCTGCCCAGAGGAACCTCCCTGGGCCTCTGCTTCCTTATGGCTCACCTTTGGGAAGTAGGGAGCAAGTCTCTCTCTCACCATCCTGTAGCCAGCACCTAGCTCAGGACCTGCTGCCCAGATGAATTCATGAGTCACTGGAGATAGGATGAATGGACATGATTACACCTGACAATTTCCTGGGCTGCTTTCATTGTTAAGACGTTGAAAGACTGGCTGGGCACGGGGGCTCATGCCTGTAATTCCAACACTTGGGGAGGCTGAGGAGGGCAGATCATTTGAGTCCAGGAGTTCGAGACCAGCCTGGTAAAATAGTGAAACTTGTCTCTACCAAAAATACAGAAAATTACCTGGCCACAGTGGTGCGTGCCTGTAGTCCTAGCTACTTGGGAGGGTAAGGCAGGAGGATCCCTTGAGCCCTGAGGGTCAAGGCTGCAGTGAGTCAAGATTGCGCCATTGCACTCCAGCCTGGGTGACAGGAGTGAGTTAAACCCTGTCTCAAAAACAGAAACAAAACCAAAAACAACCCATTGAAAGACCATGACTCTGAACATTTCTTGGAGGAGACATCTGAGATGAGTCCTGAAGGACAGTAGGATTTTTCTTTCTGTTTTCCTCACTTTCCTTCTCTCTTGACTTTGTGCTATTTTTCCATTTCTTTCATAAATCCTAATGGCAATGTTTTATGCCTTACAGTGAGACATGCAGCAGTCACACAGGCTGGAAACAGCAGAGAAGTTCAATATTTGAGGGATGCCTCCCTTAAGATTCCTTGAGATGGTATAGATGAAATCTTCATTGATAAAGTCTTGTTTTTGGTATTCAAATTATTTTGTTTTATTTTCATTGGACAAGTTGGTGGTAGATGTTTATGAAGAAAAAAATCAGAAGACTATAGATTAGCAAAAATAATTACTTGCAATCCCATAAGAATATGGGATTGTAGTATAAAACCAGTTTTCAACTTTTTTTTCCATTCTATAATATGAGCATCCTTTTTTTTTTTTTTTTTTTTTTTTTTTAAGATGGAGACTTATTCTGTCACCCAGGCTGGAGTGCAGTGGCACTGTCTTAGCTCACTGCAACCTCTGCCTCCTAGGCTCAAGTGATTCTCTTGCCTCAGCCTCCCAAGTAGCTAGGACCACAGGCATGCACCACCATGCCTGGCTAATTTTGTATTTTTTACTAGAGATGGAGGTTCACCATGTTTCCCAGGCTGGTCTTGAACTCCTGAGCTCAGGTGATCCACCCCTGCCCACCTTGGCCTCCCAAAGTGCTGGGATTATAGGCATAAGCCACCGAGCCCAGCCTATTATAAGCATCTTTATGTGTCAATAAACCTCTTCATTTTTGTAGCCATTAATATATGATATTCTGTCCTATGGTTGCACTGTCATTAACAAATGAACTCAAATTGGATATTTGAATTCTTTTGATTTTTTTTTTTTTTTGGCTATTCTAAAATGGTGTTGCCCTGAATTTCATGGGTAAGTACATAGTCTCTCTACCCTTTGTTTTCCACCTGTGTGGATAACCTCAGGATAACGATACTACTCCCACCTGGGGTTGTATGGTGGCTGTGAGTTAACACATATAAAGCTCTTAGCACAAGTACAGTACAGTGCATAGTAGCCTAGACATGCTTAATAAATATTAGCTGTTTTACTTTATAGCCCAGAGAAAGCTGTCTTAACGCAGATTGCGGAGTAAATAAATAGGAGAGCCCCGGAAGTGTTCTTTGCAAACCTGCAGGATGAGGTGCAGGTAGAAGGTGTGGGCTGGGGGCTCCCTAGGTTGAGTAGTTCCCCAGTGTTTTCTTATTTATAGAATAAGCTTCCAGATGGCTAGGAGTCTTCTATTGTTTTTTTTAATACACAGTAGAGGATACCAGGTGGTCACCAAAGACTTGTCACTGTTCCCTGACATTTAAGAATCTTTGCTGATGAGTTTCCG